TCACTGAAAATCCACTACCTTTCGATATTTTTCAATTAGTATGTTTTCAGAGCTACTTCATCTGCTAATATCCCCTGTTACACTCTCACCTCCTCTGTTACTCACATAACAGACTGTGGGGTGTTCTTATCACCTCTAGTCACATAATTGTGTTTTCTCCCACTGATTTGCTTTACTTGATATCATGCATATCAAAGATCAGTAACAAGAAAAATCACAGCATGAGATGTTACAGAATTTTCTCCCTCCTTTTTAGAAGTTTGTACAAACACATGCACCAGAAGAAGGGTGGTGGAAGAAAATTTGGGAATGGAGCATACCACCAAGCTCGAAACGGCTGCAGGATCTGGAGCAGATATGGTAGCTGCTGCGGGATTCAGAAACACCACGGGGCTCGGCTTCTGTTCTGCAGAACAGTCAGGAACAATGCGGACAAGGCATTCCACTGGGGGGGCCCAGAGGGAATGTGGTGAAGGAGAAATAAACATGAATTTCTTGGAGTCCTACTTTTCTCAGGTAATTTGGTGAAAAACTTTGTGGCTCTGATACCTTATTTACATTACAGATCTTTTCACTTGACTATATTTCAGTTTTACGGCTCATTATTTTCGCAGCTTGTGAAAATGTAAGAAAAAATAAGGGCTCTTTGCAGATAATCTAGGATGGCTGCCCAAATTGGGCTACTGGTCAAAAGGAATAATAGGTAGATAGACACAAAGTAAGAGAACATAGCAAGTGGCACCGTATTCTTCCAACTGGAATAGCAACGGACAGCAAAATCTTTTGCATTTCAGGATCAGCAGCATCCTCCTTAGAAATACAAAGCAGCTTATTTTGCATTTCCTGTACCATAAAGGATGTCAGAACACATGTGAATATATTTGTATGAGAAAGGGTTATGGTATTTTCCACATTTTCAAAGGAGTCCATGTCCAAAAAAAGTTGGAGAACCACTGAATCAATGACCCAAAAATAAAAGGGGGAGGGAGGAGTGTGATCGAAGATCAGATGAGCATGGAACCAAAGAGGGACAAGGGTGCAAAAATGGAGAGGACTGTGGGAGGCAGGTTGCTTGCCTCCTGGTTGGGGGGCTGTCATTAGGATAGACTTCACATATAGATTCGGTATCAGAACTGGTGGTAGGTGCCAGGATCTTGTCCTCGTATGAGCAGATGAAGGCTAACACTGTGTTTGAGGGTAGACTGGCAGGGAGTGCTTGATTGGGATGAGGGTCCTTGGGAAATTCTGAGGTGGTGTGGGTTCTAGTTATGGGACAGGCTCCTGCAAGACCTGCAGGGTCTCGGCAAAGTCTCCAGTCTGGGTGAGAGCTACATCAGATGGTACACAGTGGGATGCCTCCTTCCTACACCCAAAGACACACGTTAACGCAAGTATACATAGGACCCTTACACTTGACACAGGGAGTAACCTGCAGGCTTCATACACAATTGGTTGGAAGGCCTAAATCTATGTAAGTGCCTTCAGAATCAAGAATTAAACTATGACCCTAGGCCAAACTCAATTTTGAGGGAATGTCAAGTACACTAGTCTCCAAATGATTTCTATAAGAATATTGTTGGTATGAAGAGTATGTCTTTCTATCTATGGAGTACCTAAACTACACAATCATGAGCAAACCTTGAGTCCTATGAATGGTATTATATTGTTCAGCTGAATTTCTTATAAAATTCATTTTTCTACTTTTTTGCACCTTTAGAAAGCATTTGACTGTGCAGAGGAAGAGGATGGTCAGGAAGCAAATGACTGCTTGCTGATCTATGACAACGAAGGATTGGGTGCCCCTGGTTCTCCTGTGGGGTCCCTGGGTTGCTGCAGCTTTATTGTGGATGACCTGGATGAAAGCTTTTTGGATTCACTGGGCCCGAAATTTAAACAACTTGCAGAGATAAGCCTCGGGTTTGATGACAAAGCCAAACAATCTCAGACACACAACAAAAACAGTGGTTCTGGGATTGGATCCTGTGACCACTCTGTAGAAATCCAGCAATCAGGATGTTCTAGGTGCCAGATTTCACTAGACAGTCAAGGAGCTTCTGCTTTATCTACCTCTTGCTCTGTCTTCCAACCCGCCATTCCCATCCCTGACCCTCTGCAGCAGCATAGCTGTTTGGTGACGGAGACTTACTCAGCTTCTGGCTCCCTCATGCAGCCTTCTACTGCAGCCTTTGATCCACTTCTCACGCAAAATGTTATAGTGACAGAGCGAGTGATATGTCCCATTTCTAGTAGTCCTGGCAACCTATGTGGTCCAATTGAGATACAAGGGTCGAGTAATATGATTTGTACAGAAGATCCTTGTTCCCGTCTGATATGACCAGAATGAACAGGAACCACAGACTGGCTGCATAAGGATATCTGGACCAAATCATCCAGAATAGCATAGCAAGTCTCACAGCATCGGTCTAATTTGGCACTTACTTGCTACTCTGATAAAGTGATCATAATTACAGGTTTCTAGTTCATATCCCCAAAGTGAATATGTTGCCATTCTTAATTCTCAAATACTATTCAAGTGGTATTAAATTTTAATGTTTTTTTTTAAATCTTAACATATTCAGTACAAAAATATCCCAACAATTTTTAAACATCTACTTTTGCAGTGTCAAAGAACGGTGCTCATCCCTTTAAAATGCAATGAACTTTTAGTAGATTAAGCACTTGGAGTCAAGAATCCCAGTTCTTGTCTCTCTCACCTTCTCTTATATCACTAATAATGATGTAAGAGTCTTGGGTGTTTGCTAAAGCATTTTGAGTTGCTCCAGAAAGAAAAAAAAGGGTAAGTCACAGTTGAACTTTTTCCATCTTCTTGGTGCTGGGAGACCCTACCTGAATCTTTTGCTCAAGCTAAGGCTATTGGCTTATGCATTAAACTTGCTACATCTATATGCCTCATATTCTAACAATAAGACAATTTTATCATAGAACATTTAAGAAAGTTTAGTATAGTGTAAATAGTATTTTGGGTTTCTGTAATCATCTTGAAATGATCTAGCCAAAGAAAATGTACTCCTTCCGACATACTTCTCAGTAACAAATCCTATGTTAATAGTTAAAAGTGTTCCTTATTTTTTAAATGTCAGCGGGCCAATGTAACTTTCATATGACAAGCATGATGTTTATTATGTTAACAATGTTTACAGACTTGTGGAAATTCAAACCATGGCTTTTCTCATAAGCAGAAGGGGCTGCTGACTAGAATAACACAAGATAAAATTTGTAAATATGTATTTATAAACAGAATTTCAGGTCAAATAGGATATGAAAAAGGATTAGCAGGAACCTCTTTTTTTTTAAGCCTCCGTCCTTTTACATTAAACAGCTACAGCAATTTAATTCTTGAGCATAACATTGTTAGGTTAGTGAAGGTTTAGGACGTGTTATTTCATGCATGTTACCATGATGAAAATGCAGTTCTTCAGATCATTTGTGGTCCTTCACGATCTTCAGCCTTTAACCCGTAAAAAGCACCCTAACTTCTTAACGACATTATTGTTTTAGCTGAGTCTTTAAAAGGTCACTGGCCAGCCCTATTTTCTTTAATTGCATGTAAAACTTTCCTTCCATTTTTTGGCCTTATTCAAAACTGATACTTGTTTTTCCAGATGGAATGCAAACTAATAAAGTACTTGTGTTTTAACCGAGAAGGGTAGAGTCTGGAGGATACCTTGTCGGAAAGAGACCCCCTAAAATTTCTTACATCTAAGATTCTTCCCTGGCCCAGATGCCTTGACTACCAGGAAGGCCTATGCTAGCATAGCCTGAGACATGGGCAGCCTGTTCTTCCAAGACAAGGCTGTTGCTGCAATAAGGCTTGCAGTGCACTTGTCTTGAGGTGAAGGAGACTTGACCCTATGGAGCAGTCTGCTGGGTCCTGAGGAAGTTTCCTTGCTAGTATCACTGGGCACCTCTTGTCTGTCTTTTCAAAAGATGCTTTCTGTAGGATCTAGCATACACACAGTTGATCTGTGCCTCTGTTTGTACACAAAAGTAAAGTCAATAGTCATAATAACTCTTATACCAAGGTCAAAAGTGTACTCAAGATCCTCAAAGCATTTTAACTTTGCCTCTTAAAAACTCAGCTTATCAAAAATGGGAATTTTGCTGCATTGTCAGATGGCAGAGGAAACTATGCCATTGTAACAAAGGTTATATAATGAAATAATTGAAATGAAATGTGTTTTGAAACAAAAATAGATCAATCTTGTCTAGGGGGACCTAAAATTGATTTGTCATGTAAAATTGAATTCAAAGCAAAAAAAAAATGTATGTGTATATTTTCAAAAATAAAAACTGAAGCAAATTAAAAAATTTAACTGTCTGTTTACTTGATGTATCATCAATTTTAAACAGTATATAGTAAAACTTTAACCATGTAACATTGTTTTTAAAAAACTGATGACAAATTTAAGAGTACTTCCTTAACTATTCACTAAAAGGTGAACTACTCTTTGTAATTACTTCAAAAATTTGATATAAGAAGGTGCCTTACCTATATGCTTTTATCAGTTATTGCATTTTTTTTCCTAGCTGATATCTACTCTGCATCCTTCCAGGCAGGATGGAAATGCCTGAAGACTCCAGATCTCTTCTTCAGGTAGATCTAGATGGTGCTGGATGAGGTCAGGGCAAACTTTTACTAACTGGGTGCTTTAACTCGTTTATTTGTTTGGTAATTTAGAATCATCTTTCAGGCAGAAGTTTCATCATTCTATGATGACTCAGAGAGAAAAGTTGGAATAAAGAAAGGTAAGGTTTCTAGCCTACCGTGATGAAAAAAATGGACCATGGCTCTGGTGACAGCCAGTAGCCACAGCGGTGGGTTTGCCCCCCAGGAAATGCCTGTTATTATGTCTTTTTTAAAGAGATGCCACGAACTCAGTCCCTTCAGAACTTCAGATCTCGCTTTTGACTGACCTTCCTCATTTTTCAATGCAGACTTGGACCTGGGGTATGGGAAGCAGAAGCTGGATTAGAGTGGATGTTGAGTGAAGAAAAGTGGATGGCTTACCTTGGATGTTGCAACTCAATTTCAGGAAAATGAAAGCCATGTAGGTAATTCCAAAAATGTCACCAGTTTCTCCTATTCATAGAAAATTCAAGGAATAAAAATCTCGACTTTTAGAAATCAAGAGTGTAAAAGGAATACACTCAACTGACTAGCTTCAATGCAACTCACTGATTTAAAAAGTAAAAGTTCAGGATCTTTCCTTCTTGTTCTTGGCAATTCAGCATGTTCTCAACTCCTTTACTGGGTGTACAAAGAGTAATTCTGAACCACAGATTATATGGTCTCACACTTGTTCAACAGAGTGTCAGACTGTTTCATGTAGGGGGAACAAGTGGTCAGAAAACAAGACAAACTATCATTTAAATTCCAGGTAACAGAAAGGACACATTTTCCATGATGAATACTGAGACTCCCTCTCTTCTTCCTGACCCAGACTGCACAGGATTCTCTCCATGACAAGACATCAAGACATTGGCCATTCTAGGTTGGTGTCTTTACTTTCTTTTTTGTTTATACAGTGACTTTTTTTTCCAATATAAACCAAACTATCTAAACACAGCACAGATGTAGTTAAAACTCAGAAGAAAGATGATCTAAGAGAGCAAATGTAAATGAATGCAGTTACCAGAGTAGGAATGAGAAATGGGTGAGGGCTACCTACCAGGTGGCCAGATATACATATTCTAATTTAATTCTTAAAGGAACTGTTAAATTAGAGTCATGAAAACAGAACACAGGAAAAGCAAAGTAACTTCCTCAAGGTTGTACAGTAATTTGACACAAGTGTAAAGGTTTAATCTATAATTATTCAGCACTGCTAAAAATGATTACTCTCAGAATAATCTGTTTATTTTCAGCTCTAAAACTGAATAGAACATGAAAATTTAAAAAGAACACAAAGAGAACAATGAAAATTATTTTTTAAAAAAATTAAAAAGATTGGAAATCTAGATACAATTCTAACGATTAAAGAATCACTATAATGTAGACACACACACACACACACACTGGGGTGGTCAAAAGTAGGCTTATTCTTGCATTATTATTTACTAATTATTGTATTATTTCCATATGAACAATTGTAAACCTACTTTTGCCAATTCTTATACACACACACATATATACACATACAGAACAAAGAGTTCTACATATCTTTCTATGCATCTAACACTGAGAGATAGAAATAGAGAGGTAAAGAGGTAGAGAGATTGATTAACAGAATGCAAATAGATGATTTGCTATTTTGAAGTATATGTGAAGTTATTTTTCAGAGCACAAAGACCAGTCCTCTTCCACATTTAATAACAAAAACAAGCTATATAGAAGTCATAGAATCTCTTTTTCAATAAACTCCTTAAGAATTACTCTGACAGTGTACTTTTTAGAGGAGGTTTTGTGATAGGTGTCTAGCTATAAAAATAACTTTTAAAAAAATGTGTTATTTGCATGTGTTGTGAAACAATCACCACAATAAGTGCCATTAGCATCCGTCACCTTTCATGGTTATAAGAAAATATTTTTTCCTATGATGAGAACTTTTAAGATCTATTCTCTTAGCAACTTTGAAATATGCAACTCAGTATCATTAGCTATAGTGACCATGCTGTACATTGCATCCCCAGAGCTGATCTATTTGATAAGCAGAAGTTTGTACCTTTTGACCCCCTTCACCCATTTTCCTACCCCCAGCCCCTCACCCCTGGCCTCTGGCAACCATCAATTTGTTCTCTGTATCTATGAGTTTAGTTTTTGTTTTGTTTTATAAAGAAAATAGCATTAAATGGGTTCATTCATCTTAGTGTCTCCATGATTATTTGTGAAAAACAACACATTTTTACAACTACAAGAACTATTTTACTATTTTAAAGGCATCTCCATTCCTCCTTTATATACCTGAAGTACATGGGGACGTTGTATTTTTAATTTTATGTCTCAGAACATCTCTGATGTTTTCTGTGTGCTGAATTTTCATTATTAAATTAGGAAGCAGTAAATTTCATGTGAAAACACAGAACATCAAATTATCATAATATAAGCAAAACATTAATATTGAGAGAATATTTATGTCCTCATTTTCTCAGAAGGCACAGGAAGTATTTATATTGTTTCATAATCAAGAGAGGATTCCAAAAGGCTTTCTTAATTATAAAGCAGTACAGAATCAGATAATCCTGTGTTTATTTAAATGGCATAATGACATGGTTTTCACTCTTGCAAGGAGGCATTTTCACTAAGCCAAAAATGAGTATCCAAACACAAAATGTGTTTGGATTAACTTCAGTCATGTCTCCCCATGTCCAACTGACTAGCACTGATAATAAGATTTATACGCTCCTAACTAGGAGGTGAAGCACACACAAACACACATGCACACTCTCTGCCTTGGGTAACCATGTAGCTGATGTGGCTGAAGCAGTGTCTTTCCATCTTCAACTCCGTGGACCAGACACTAATAGTGTGTGTGTGTTTTAGATACAAAGTTTTTACATGCAAGAAGTTCTTTCTTATCTAAAGAAAGGGGGAAGGGAGAATCCCCTCTTTGTGTAAAACAATATGAAGAGGTCTTGTTTGACCAATCTTTTACTTAATCTCATCCAGGGCTGACATCCACAACTTTTGATTAGTGAAAAAAAGTGTACCAGGAAATGGAGGTATTAGTCAAAAGGTACAAAGTTTCAGTCATACAAGAAGAGTAAGACCTAAAGATCTACTGAACAGCACAAGGCCTCAGTTAACAACGTTGTGTTATACACTTAAAATTTTGCTCAGAGTGTAAAATTTAGGGTAAGTGTTCTTGCCACAAAAAACGAATAATAATAGCAATCAATAAGATGCAATAAGGAAACTTTTAGAGGTGATAGATAGGTTTATGGCTTCAACTGTGGTGAAGATTTCAGGGGTATATATTTGTCTTCTAACTCACCAACTTGTATACATTAACTATGTACAATTTTTGTATGTCCAAAAATTAATGTGTAATAAACCCTTAGTCTAATAAGTTCTCATAATATTTATTTTCCTGCATCTTCCCTCTGCCTCTCAACTCTTATAAATCACTATGGCTGCTAATAGTTGTACTCTAAGTTGATTTTCTACCTAGACGCTCTTTCTATATACATTTTTTTGGACCATGGAACTGTCATTTTTTTGTGCTAGCCTTTAAATATTCTTTTAAAGATGCAAACTAACAACAAAGGCATATGCTGTCAAGATGACAGAGGACCTTCTCCTCAGCAAAACAAAGACTCTGTCAGGGCCTCCCGGACAAGCCAATGCATGCTACTGCTAACTTAGCCAACCAAATCTGGGTAGAGTAGACTGTCTCCATGAAAGAACAAGCCAGGAGATGCTGTTGAATATTTTGATAGGAAACACAGTTGTCAGGCAAAGAAAACATGCTAATGTTTGCAGAAAATCAAAACTACTACAGGAGAGCCTAAGAGGAAATTTTAAAATTTCATTCCAACTATTAGTCAATCAAAAATAATGGTGTTAATTCTTCCTATTCATGAACACGGTATGTGCTTCTCCTTATTTGTATCTTCTTCAATTTCTTTCTTCAGTGTCTCATAATTTTCCAAGTATAGATCTTTTATATCCTTGGTTAGGTGTATTCCTAAGTATTTTATTCTTTTTAGCAATTGTTAAGGGGATTGTTTTCTTAATTTCCCTTTCCGTTGGTTCATTATAGGCATATAAAAATGCAACTGGTTTCTAGAAATTAATTTTGTATCCTGCTACCTTGCTGAATTCACTTATCAGTTCTAGTAGTTTCTTAGTGGAATCTATAGGGTTCTCTATATAGAGTATCATGTCATCTGCAGATAATGAGTTTTGCTTCTTCCCTTCCAATTTGGACACCTTTTATTTCTTCTTCTTGTCTAATTGCCATGGCTAGGACTTCCAGTACTATGTTGAATTACAGAGGTAAAAGTGGGCATCCTTGTCTTGTTCCCAATCTTAAGGGGAACACTTGTAGATTTTGCCCATTGAGTATGATGCTGGCATTGGGTTTGTCATATATGGCCTTTATGATGTTTAGATATGTTTCCTCTCATCCCACTTTGCTGAGATTTTTATCACAAATGTGTGCTGGATTTTATCAAATGCTTCCTCTGCATCTATTGAAATGATCACATGGTTTTTATCCTTCATCTTGTTCATATGGTGAATCACATTTATTGATTTGTAAATGTCATACCAACCTTGCATTTCTGGAAGAAATCACATTTGATCATGGTGTATGATCTTTTTGATGCATTGCTGGGTTGCTAATATTTTGCTGAGGATTTTAGTGTCTATGTTCATTACGGATGTTGGCATATAATTTTCTTTCTTTGTAGTGTCTTTATCTGGTTTGGAAATTAGGATAATGCTGGTCTTGTAAAATGAGTTTGGGAGACTTCCCTACTATTGAATTTTATGAAATAGTTTGAGAAGAAGAGGTGCTACTTCTTCTTTGAATGTTTGGTAAAATTCACCTATGAAGCCTTCTGGTCCAGGGCTTTTGTTTGTTGGGAGTTTTTTGTATTTTTTTTTTACTGCTTCAATTCCACTAGGTGTAATCTGTCTACTCAGATTCTCTGGTTCTTCCTGATTTAGTTTTGGAAGATTGTATTTTTCTAGGAATACATCCATTTCATCCAGGTTGTTCAGTTTGTTGGCATATAGTTGTTCAAAATATATTCTTACAATTCTTTATATTTCTTTGGTGCCCATTGTTATTTCTCCTCTTTCATTTCTGATTTTATTTATTTGGGTCCTCTCTCTTTTTTTCTTAATGAGTCTGGTTAGTTTGTCAATCTTGTTTAGCCTTTCAAAGAACCAGCTCTTAAATTCATTGATCTTTTGTATCATTTTTTAGACTCTGTTTCATTTATTTCTGCTCTGATCTTTATTATTTCCTTCCTTCTACTCACTTTGGGCCTTGTTTGTTGTTCTTTTTCAAGTTCTTTAAATGTACAGTTAGATTCTTTATTTGATCTTTTTCTTGTTTTTTGAGATAGGCCTGTAATGCTATGAATTTCCCTCATCTGATTGCTTTCCCAGTGTCCCATAGATTTTGCATTGTTGCATCCTCATTTTCATTTTTTAAGGTATCTTTTCATTCTTTCTTGATCTCTTTGTTTAATAACATTTTATTTAGCTTCCATGTCTTTGTGTGTTTTTCAGTTCTTCTTGTGATTGATTTCTAGTTTGATAGCACTATGATCAGAGAAGATGCTTGACATGATTTCAATCTTCTTAAATTTATTGAGACTTGTTTTGTGTCCTAACACATGATCTATCCCAGAAAATGTTTCATGTGCACTAGAAAGGTACATATACACTGCTGTTTTGGGGTGAAATTCTGTGAAGCTATCAATCAAATCCGTTTGATCTACTGTTTCATTTAAGGCCACTATCTCCTTGTTGATTTTCTGTCTGGAAGATCTATCCATTAAAGTCAATGGGGTGTTAAAATCCCCAACTATAACTGTATTTCTGTTGATCCCTCTCTTTATGTCCACCAAGATTTGCTTCACATATTTAGATGCTCCTATATTGGGTGCATGCATGCTTACTAGGGTTATGTCCTGTTGTTGGGTTGTTCCCTTTCTCATTATGTAGTGTCTTTCTTTGTCTCTTACTATATAGCCTTGGTTTTAAAGTCTATTGTGTTACATATAAGTACTGCTACCCAAACTTTATTTTCCTTTCCATTTACATGAAATATCTTTTTCCAACCCTTTATTTTTAGTCTGTGTGTATCTTTCAATCTCATATGTGTCTCTTGGAGGCAGTATATATACATGGGTCTTATATTCTTATCCATTCAGCTACCCTATGTCTTTTGGTTGGAGCATTTAAGTCATTTACATTTAAGGTGATTATTGATAGATACGTATTTAGTGCTATTTTATTGTTAGACTACTTTCCTCTGTCTTTTTTCTTTCTCTTTTTCTTCTTCTTCTTAAAGCAAGACCTTTAATATTTGTCGCAATATTGGTTTGGTGTTAACAAACTTCCTTAGCCTTTTCTTATCTGGGAACCTCCCTATTTCTCCTTCCATTTTAAATGATAGCCTTGTTGGGTATAGTAGCCTTGATTGTAGGTCCTGTTTTTCATCACCTTGAATATTTCTCACCACAAACTTCTGAACTGAAATGCTTCTATTGAGAAATCATATGATGGTCCAATTTGTGCTCCCTTGTAGGTAACTGCCTACTTTTCTCTTGTGGATTTTTAATTATGATGTGTCTCAGTGTAGGCTTGTTTGGGTCCAACTTGTTTGGGACTCTCTGAGTTTCCTAGACTTGTGTGACTTTTTCTTCACCAGATTAGGAAAGTTTTTGGTAAATATTTCTTCAGATAGGTTCTCAATTCCTTGCTTGCTCTCTTCTCCTTCTGGTATTCCCATAATGCAGATATTATAATGTTTCATGTTGTCTAAAATGTTTCTTAAGCTCTCCTCACTTTTTAGCTCTTCTTTCCTTTAGCTGCTCTTCCTGGGTGTTTTTTTTTCCTACCCTGTCTTCCAAATCACTGATTCAGTCCTCTGCTTCATCTAAACTATTATTTATCCCTTCCAGTGTACTAAAATGTCCATACTACACAAAGCAATCTATAGATTCAATGTAATTTTTCTACAGATTTCAATGCTGTATTTCACAGAACTAGAACAAATATTTCAAATATTTATATGGAACCACAAAAGGCCCCACATAGCAATAGCAATCCTGAGAAAGAAGAACAAAGGTGGAGAAATCATACTACCTAGTATCGAACTATACTATAAGGCCATAGTAATCAAAACAGCATGGTACTGGCATAAAAACAGACATATAGATCAATGGAACAAAATAGCCCAGAAATAAATCCGCACCTTTATAGTTAATTAATATTAGACAGGAAGCAAACACAAACAATGGGATGAAGACAGTTTATCAATAAATGGTTTGAGAAAGCTGGACAGATACCTGCAGAAAAATGAAACTAGACCAACTTTTTACACTACACACAAGAACAAATTCAAAATAGATCAAAGCCTTAAGTGTTAAACCCAAAACCATAAAATCCTAAAAGAAAACATAAGCAGCCAAATCTCAGACACTGCTCACAGCAAAATTTTGGGGGCATATCTCCCCAGGCAAGGCAAACAAAAGGACAAATAAACAAATGGGACTTCATCAAACTTAAAAGTTTTTGCGCAGCAAAGGAAATCATCAACAACAAAAAAAGACAACCCATGGAATAGGAGAACATATTCATCAATAAATCTAATAAGGGGTTAATATCCAAAATTTATAAAGAACTTACAAAACTTGACACCAAGAAAAATGAACAACCTAATTAAATAATGGGCAAAGGTCCTGAATAGACACTTCTCCAAAGAGGACATACAATGGCCAATAGACATATGAAAAGATGCTCAATATCACTAATCATCAGAAAAATGCAAGCTAAAACCACAAGATATCATCTCACACTTGTCAGAATGGCCATTATCAATAAGTCAACAAACAAGTGATGGAGAGCATGTGGAGAAAGGGAAACATGTTTGCACTGTTGGTAGAAATACAGATTGATGCATATACTGTGGAAAGCAGTATTGAGATACCTCAAAAAATTTAAAATGGATCTGCCTTTTAACCCAGCTACCCCACTTCTGGGAATATATCCAAAGGAACCCAAAACATTAATGCAAAAGAACATAAGCGACCCTATGTTAGTTGTAGGGTTATTTAGAATTGCCAAGATATGGAAGCAGCCCAAGTGTCCATCAGTAGATGAGTGGATAAAACAACTACTACCTGGCCATAAAAGAGAAGAAAATTTTACCTTTTGCAACAGTATGGAAGGACCTGGAGAACATTTAGCCAGTCAGAGAAAGGCAAATACCATATGATTTCACTCACTGTGGAATCTAATGAACAAACTGAACTAACAAGGAAAAATGTGGCAATCTCATAGATGGAGAGCAGATAACAGCTAGGGGGTGGGGAGATTAGGGAGTAGAGTGATTGAACAAAAAGGAAAAAGGACTCAGGGACATGAACAATGGTATAGTGATTTCTGGGTTATAAGGGAACTAAATGGTAATGAAAAAATACAATAAAGATTAAATAAAAAATAATGAAAAGTGACAAAAGAATGGTATGATAAACACATTTTAATGATTAACAAAAGATAAACTTTAAATGTCTTTTGTTTGGTTTATTTTTTTAATTCTGTGTTTTAAGTTAATGGTTAAGAGTTCAGTCTTTGGAGACAAAGTACTTGAGTTCAAATCTCACCTCCACCTCTCACTAGCTGTGTGTCTTTGGGCAAGTTACTTAACCTCTTTGTACCTCTTCATAATTTATAATTTAAATTTGCAAAATGAACTCAACTCAAAGTTAAGAGTACTGACCTCCAAACAACTGAAATCACACAAACTCAAAACACCTATATTACCTGATCCAAAGACTTGTTTTACAGAAGCTGAGAAAACAGGCTAAAAAGTGACTTGATCAAAGGCAGAGTTAGCAACTGACTAGGCTAATTCTCTTTCTGCAACTCCAGACTGCAACTGTGATTTTTCTTTTTCACTAATCTTCTGCTTTAGCCACAGACTTGTTCTGTCTAGTCTATTCTGCACTGAAAATTCCTCAGAATTCACACGCAAATAGAGATAAACAGCCACACTGATGAGAATCTGCAATTTTCAGCTGAGCTTCCTTGGAAAAGGGCAGAGTGGGAGGCTTTTTCCCCCCATGAGTTCTGATCATGTTATTTCCACCAAGTAGACTAGAGCAGTGGGGTGGCTTTGGGGGGAGGGGAAATTTACTTGAAAATAAGCATGACAGAAATTATGCTATTGTCCCAACCTCCAGTAGGACACAAATATTAGGTGATATTACTAAAATAGCAATTACTGCACCACAGAAAAAAATGACCACGCTTTATGTTCAGTTTTTACATGATCTGTAGTGCCAAGTTTCTGGCAAAGTGAAAAGAGATTTAGTTGCAAAAGCTACTTAATCCAATATAAAGTGAAAGGAAGTGAAGTTTGTCTTTATCTTTGCAGGTATTTTTACCTTATTTCTAGGACATGATCTGCCTAATGTTTTCATAATCACTATGTCCTGCTTCCTTTAAAAATGTGACCATAACTAGATAAATGTTTTCATTATTTGATAAATTCACTCATAATAAAGTATAAATCACACAAAGCACTTTGTTACTCCTCCTTGGAGTAAATATCTGCTGACTCAGAAAGCAAAGTGACATTTTTCTATCACTAGGTCGCTGGTCAGGAGGCGGAGCGTTTGGCACACTGACACTTCCCAGGGTCGCTCACATCCCATATCTGGCCTCTGTCCCTGCAGGACCACAGAGCACACCAGGGACTCGGGTTTCCCATTCTGACCAAACGACCGAATGCATCTAGTCTCTAAGAAATAAAAGTAAAGCAACATATTCTATAGAACTTCCATCCTCTTGTTATTCCTGACAACCAAGAAGCCCCGATCTTCCTCTATTTTTTGTTTGTTTTAGATGGCTTATTCATACATACCTCTAGAGTGAAAACCCAAAGTATAAATAACAATAAATCACACTCTGTGAACTTAAGATTCCAATTATTGAAAATTCTGAGGCTTAGACTGACTCCCTCACAGTGCCACACAATGGAAACTCACAAGGACACTTCTGAGCCATAGAGCAATTCTTCACATGAGCCTTCACATGGAGCTTACAGAGTTGAACAAAGTAAGCTCCTGGTAATACTGCTCTGCTTAACCTGTTGTCATCAAATTTACTGATTATTTCAGATGAATTTTCTAATCCCAAAGTTAAGAAAAAAGTACAGTGATACACTCCCTTCCTCTTTCACACCCATGGGAGAATTAGTCACAAGAAGTCACTGCTGACTGACCTGTATGGTAATAGCTGATTCTGCATGAAACGGGTGTGACTCTCCAAAGATATGATGTTATTCAGGTTCAGCTGGGAAAAAAAAAGTTACAGTAAATTAACAGACAACTGCATAGAGAAATAAGAGGTCTGCTTTCAGAAATATAGTAATGTTCAGAATGAATATTATCATTTTTTAAAAATCTTTAAAGCCAACTATCCTCAAACAAGCTGGTAGGGGTCACTGTGATGGTTAGAACTAAATGATTAGGAGCAATTTTCTTCTCTTTGTTTTAGGTAGGAAGAAAAATAATTTCCACCTTAAAAGGCTGAAAAGAAAAATACTGTATTTTTCTTACCCCATAACCTTCATTGTTTCAAAATTCTGCTTCACTGGTTTGCCTAATATTTGGACATATTTCTGTCCAGTAAAAATCTGTATTTTCAGTGGAAACTAGATGAAGTTATGAAAGGCCCACTGCAAAAAGAAAAAAAATTACAGCTCAAACAAAACAGGTTTAGAAACAAACATTTTCCTGAAATGCTCAATCACTAGAGACATTTTGATTTTCTTCTTTACATCTGAAAACTACTTCAGCACCCAGTTCCCTGAGTGTGTATGAATGAAAGTGAGTTAAATTACTATTCATCATATTCAAAGATTTTCCATTACTTTCGATATAAAAGTAAAGTCACCACATAGAAATTATTTGCCATTCAAAATATCTAATTTGGGATTCAAAAATAACAACATTGTGACTTTTGGTCAGCAGGGCTCTTACAAGTTTGTCCTCCAGAGTAGTGATCCCCGATATTTTGTGTGCGGGACACCGGTGACAGACCGCGGGCTGGTGGACAAGTTCCCACACAGGCTCTGTTCGCTGGGCTGGAACCCACCCTCTGTCTCCGTCCAAAGTGGATGCCAAACATGTGAGTGAGCGTCATCATCACTGAATAACTTTAAATGTGCTCTAATCACTGTAACAAGTAAATAATTCACAAATTGATTAACAAATTACTACATTGACTGGTATGGTACTGAAATAAAAAACCAAGACAGATTCTGAAAGTAAATTAAAATGAGTACCTGAATATCATTAAATCCTTGTTTTTACTTTGAAATGGAAAATGTTATTTACTTTTGAGATGATACTTCTCTCTGCTAAAGTCATTATTTCAAATCATTCTGAAAAGATCTTTAATGCCAGTATTTTGCTTCCAGTATTTTGCTTCCACGATTGCTCTCCAAAGCTATCACATTGCTTCTATTTTATTCCCTTGTTATTCCTAAGAATGTCACTTGTCTTCATGCAAAAGAACTGCTAAGAAACCAGCACTCTTTACTGTCTTCTAAGGGGTTTTTTTCTGTGTATCTCCCCACGTCATTAGTCACATGGGGCTGCGTGATGGTTTCTCTGACACCCTGAGTAAACACTCCTGTGTCTGCTGTAAACCTGCGAATCCTGTCCTGCCAGCACCAAATTCCAGCTTGGGGCTGCTGTTAGCAACCAAACACTCCCAACATCTCCTCCCCAGCCACTGCTATTTCCCTTATCTTTCCAAGAATTCCCATAACAAGTCCTAGGCTGAAACCAAAGCCAGGGATTCGTTCTGAAAATGGTGTTGGGTAGATAAAATTGACATTCCCAAGAGTCACGCTCCCCTAATGAATGCTTCCTTTGTTCAACTCCGGAGGGAATGGGGATTTTTCATAGAGTTTATGGTTTCACACTTGTTCCCCCTGTAAAGAAAAGAGCCTTAATGAAGAGGAAGAACACAGAAATGTTCTCCATAGGCCTCTGAACTCCTGCACTTTATTCTGTTCAGGCAATGGTAAGAGAGGGGATGCTACCCATAGTGAACCAGGCCTCCCAGCACACCCCGCCCCGGTGCGGTGACATTTACTCTCGTCCTTCCAGGAATATAATATTATCTTGCCCTTTTCCCCTTTATCCTCATTTTACACACACACACACACACAACCTATCCTCCAAAATAACCTTGAAAATGTATAAAAGTATTCACTTATACTCATTTATTCACACATTCAAATAATATCTACTGAAGACCTTCAATGAATCAGGCACTGTTTTAGGTGCTAGATACATAGCAGCCCACAGAGAAAAACCCCAGCCCTCATGCAGTTTATGTTCTAGTGAATGGCAACAGATAATAAATAAGTAACCACCCAGTCTTGTAGATCGTGATGTGCCACGAAGAAAAAATGAAGCAGGGAAAGAGGGTGGGGAGCGCTATGGGGGTGGGAGTCGTCACAATGGTTAAATGGGTGGTCAGAGAAGGCCTCACTGATAAAGTAGTATCTGGGGGGGGAGTTAAGAGCGAGGGAGTAAACTTTGTATTTGTCTGGAGCAGAACCTCCTAGGGGAAAGAAACAGGGAGTGCAAATGCTCTGAGGTGGAGTGTGCCTGGAACATTAGCTGTGTCATGCTGTGATATAAGTAACTGATAACCTGCAATGTTAGTCAGTTACTTCCAGTAATATGCAAGCAATGTGAGAGCCTCCAGCTAAAGAATTTTAGGCATTAGTCAGTAGGGACATCAAAGTCTCACTAAAGTTTCCAAGATAATCAAGATAATTGCTACTTTGTATACATCTCAATCCAGCATTACTACAGTCTTATCACCTTTTAAAACCAGTATGATTTATTTTTTAAAAATCTCTTAAGATGTGTTCAGCACTCTACTTAGAACCAAGAACAGACAACTCTTTTCTTTGCTGAGCCAAATTCTATTTTGCACCTATAGTATCTTCTCCTAATTTTCTTCTGTTCCATGAACAAAGTTAACAATCTCCTTAAGCCATTTTGGTTCAGGGACTTTGCATCCAAGCGACCAGTTCTCACAGTGACTCACGAGGAGCCCATGGGGAATGGCTCAGGCAGACACCTGACTCACTGCACAAGGCTTCCTCATGCTTGCAGGGTGCTGGTCTGTGGCTATGATCTCATGGCTGACTACGGTTGTCCCCAAAGTGTGTGACTGTTCATTAAAAATATGCTGGCTTTTCTGTGATAGACCATAGGGCTTACAGTCTACTGGACTTCCATTATTACTCTGTAAGTTCTAGCTCAGAAAGGCAACAAAGTTTTTTCCACCCTGTTATCACAAGAGGACATCCCCCAGCCCCAAGTTGGCTGAGGCTCCTCTCTCACTGCCTAAGGTGGAGGCGACTCTTGGTTCATCTAACTGGAGACTCCATGAGAATCTCAACATCCTGACTCCTAGTCTGTGATGTCATTCTTGCCTTGGTTTCTGTGAAAAGGAACCATGCTCCTTCTCCAGATTAAAGGGAAGAAAAATCATCTTCCACTTCTCCATACCTGATATAATACACTATCTTCTTAGCTGGCCCCTGAACTCCTCCAGCATTGCCCTGTCCATTTCTTCTGCCACACTCAAGTCCACATACATCCTGGAACTTACACCTTTAACACTCCCCAACCCTGACTCACACCCACTAACCATTATTCTTCTCCTGCTCCTGGCTTCAATGTGGTTGGAGAAAGCACACATGTACAAACTGACACATGTACACTCATGTGTGCATATAGGCATGTACACATACACACAAGCCCAGACCCACATTTTCTGACCAGACCCACCTCTAACATGCCATCCACAGTGGATATGCCAAACACCTTTCCTTACAATACTACTTCTTATTTATATCTAATTCCTTCCAGTATGTGGGCTTGTTTCAACAAATGTTTATTGGACATCTAATATGTGTTTGATATAAGGGGCTGGACCCACTATGAATGTGATATGACCTCTGCTTTCAAAGTATTAACACTCTTGAGAAAGAGGGATGGGTGGAGTAGCAGACACAGAAGAAAGAACCACATGCCACAGTGTGATTGCTAGTAGACAGGTGTGTGAGTCACCCTGACAGGGCCGCAGGGAGCAGGGAATAGAGGAAAGGGCAGGTGACTGGGTATGGAGAGTGTGGGAAAAAAAGAATTGAAGGTGCTGCTCAGTCTCCTGGCTTGGGTGACAGAATTGACAAGGCCTATGAGGAAGTAAGAAGATTGCACTGGAGAGGTGTGGAGGGGTAAAGAAATCTTTTCTGTCAGTATGATGAGTTTGATATCCCTATGAAATTATAATGGTCATTTGAGGTCCCTATGAAATTCCGGAATGGTAATGTTACATGTTTGAGGATTGAGAGAGAAAGCGGTGATAGATTTGCCCAATAGGAGTGACTACAGATTCATGCTTGGTGCCAAGTAAGAAGAAAATAAGGAAAAACTCAAAAGGCATGTGCATTTAACAGGTAGGCAGACAATAAGAAACGACTTCAGAAAGAACAGCCAGAAAAACAGAAAATTAGGTGACTGTTTGTGCCTCCTACCTCAATCTGCAACTGTGTTCTTCTCATTTCAAACTACTTACTAGACTTTTCTCATTAAAATTGCTGTAATACCTCAAATTCAATTGTCACACACATACACACAGGAACACTTTTACTTCTGACTTCCCTTTCAGTGTCAGTAAGGTGAAAATAATGCTTTTTAAAAAAAAACTTTTTCATGACATCTGAAACCCCTGACTCTTGGCCAACAGTGTCTATGCTTTGATTTACTCTGCCCTGGCAAGTTCAATGTCTCCTTCACAATTACTCTTCTCTGAAGAATCAGCTCACCACGCCACCCCACTCCCTTGGCCCCCCAAAACACTTCCTCTAATCTCACGGTTCAAAGTGTGGGTCTGGGACCCCCTTCCTCATGATTACATTATATCCCACATATATTTCTACCACTGCATTTATAATAGTTTACAAGTAGCTAAAGATATATTATTTCATAATGTAAGATCTATTTCATAAAGATCTATTTTTGTTTCTTTGAATTAAGAAACATTTATCTTTGTATCCCCAACAAAACAAAAATGAAATATTTATTGAGCAGGAACAAACTTAATGTTGAATAAATGAAGGAATACATGAGTGAAAACAGATTCCTCCTTTCCGTGCATTTCTCACATCACCTAGGGATAGTTCATGTTCATTCTGTGTCCACACCTGCTTTATTAATCAGCTTTCTATGAGTAAGCCTCCAGGACACAATAAACAATTTTTTTTTATATTTTAACAGTCACACATTTCTATCATTTGCTTCTAGGGTGTTTCATAGGGTAGCAACCAGATTTAGTTCCTATACTTACTGGGATTTTCAGTGGAATCAAATATCAGCCATCTATCAAATCATTAGCCAAGAAATGTTGACTTATAAATGCTGGAATTGGGAGTAAGGAGGCCATGATAGTAGATAAGAGACACATTAATTTTTGTTAGTCTTTGCGAAAACTTTTTTACATTTTTATGTTTGAGATAATATTCAGGGATGGTACTAACAAGCTAATCACTCGAAACTTATTCTCACCCATGTATATGTATGAATTCAGCAAAGTATTCTAGGAAATATAACGCAGGTAGATATTTTCAATACGTGTAGATATTAAAGCCAACTGTTTGCGCAAAATATATTTTGAACTCATGCATTATGTTTCTTAAGAAAAGTACATTTACCATAATGTTTATGTAATTTAAAGGGAAAACCTATAAGTTAAACCTTTCATATCTTGCTAACACTTCCATTTGTTTTAAAGCAATAATTAATCCTTTGTTGGTAACGGCCACATATGTTTTTGTGCACAGGGATTTATGAACCAGATTTACTCTCATCCGAGCAGAAACGTTATGAGCCAGAGAACTAGCTGTGTATCATTTGACCTTCCACAAGTCTCTTCAACTCACTGTGTCAGAAGTTTCAGAATTTTTAAAGAGGAACTAATTCCAGAATGACACACTATGGCACTGGATGGTGCATATAGTGACACCTTCTCTCAAAGCCTTGGGATAAATGTCTTATAGAAGGTATGCTATCCCAAAACTGACTTTGACAGCCTCTAAGGAAGTTGAATAGCCCAACAAAAATAAAATTCTTATTACCTATTTCTCGTTCTGGAACCTGCAATTATCCTCATTGTTAAACAGAAGCCAAAGTCTTGATAATGAGGCATAAATACTTGTCTATAAGACTCACTTGTAAGAGCACTAACTTTGGATAGGACTTATGTATAGTTTCCTGGAATGACTTGTGAAAGTGTTCAGAAAAAAGCCTGCCTGGTTAAATTAGCTTTCCCAGCATGGTGGGGAAGGAGAATTATCACCAAAGTGTGCTACCACCCATGTCTGGCTCGGGAGGGAGGAAGGGAAACTAGAAGACATACTTCCCTCCAGATTGAACTCCATACCCTTGACACTCAGCACTGTTCTAGGCACTGGAAACAGAATAGTAAGCTAAGCACACACTCTTCCTAGACACTAACTCCTCAGCTAACTTCACCACCAACGCAGCCACTCAGGAGTTAAGCCCTAAACAAACAGAGAAGAATGCGGCCCTCTCAACTCAAAGAGGGGCTGGTCCTTGATGGCTGGGAAAGACCTGGACTAGAGAGAGAAGGGTAGAAGATCCTGGGGGAGGGGAGATGAAGGCACTTTTGACCACAGAAGGAATTCTGCTATTTTTGCTAAATTTTTCTAGTAGCAAATCAACCCTTTAAACTTTTATAGGTTGTTCCATTACTCCAACACCAATAGTTAACCTTTCTTATAAATTTCCTAATCTGGTGCTAATGCTAGTGTTTTTGATTTTTAAGAAGAGTTCAAATTAACATATACTTTTGCAATAACAAGTATCGTTATACTAACACCCTTATGCACTACACACTGCAGAATGCTTCACAGAGATTTTCTGATTCGATTTTTAGAAGAGCCCCGTGTTGAGAGCTATTAATCCAATTTGACAGATCTGGAAAGCGGGCCACAGAAAGATTGCCCAGGTCACACAGCTAGTAACTATTGGAGCGAGGATTTTGACCTCTACTTATGCTTTGTGTAAGAGATTTTGTAAATCATATCGAAGAGTGTACCTTTCCCCTTAACACCTTTACAGTTTTGTCCTAATCGAGTCTAGTTTAAAGGGGTCACGGAACTGTCCGTTTAGATCCTCTGTAATTTTTCTAATAAATTTCCCCCTCGGCCAAAGAAACTGCAAACCGGTCGGGTACAGTTAAGGGTCCTTGCGGAACAGATGAGAAACCTCAGCGGAGATAGCCACCTGAAATCCTGCTCCAGAATTTCTGCTCCCAGGAGGTGGGCCCCACGCGCCACGTATTCAGTGAGGACGCGGGTTCCCACGTCACGCGTCTTTCTTCGCGCCACCTGAGTTCTGGGCCCGAGCCCATTCACAAAGCCCTGGGCCTTTCGCGGCCACGGGCGGCCAGGCCAGCTCACGGGACACCGCAGCTCTCCACCGCAGAAAGTGAGGTCTGCCCCGGGGCCGAGCCCTGCCTGCGCGCCCAGAGTTCTGTCCACTCTCCTGGGAGGAGGGGATCGGGAAGGAGAGTAGGGCGGGGCGGGGCCTACACGCAAAGTCCCCAAACGGCGACGTCACGGTCCCAGGTGCGTGTGCGACAGGGGCGGGAGGCGCCTCGAGCCTCCTTCCTCTGCTAATTCCCCACCCCAGCGCCAGCAGCTCCCACGACCCAGGCTCGGCTTTCCTGGGGCACACGCACTGGGAACCCGGCCTCCGGGCGGCCGCGCGGGCGCCGCGGGCGAGGGGAGGCGGGGCGGGGAGGGGGCTGCAGGCGCTGGGGAGGAGCCGGGCGCGTGCTCGCCCGGACCCAGCCTGGGCGGTGTCGTGGAGCGGAACGGGCGGCCGGAGGCGAGGGCGCGGCGGGGACCGGGGCGCGATGGCATGGAACGCGGAGGGCGTCCTGCTGCTGCTTCTGGTAAGTGTGCCAACCGGAACACGGAGCCCGGGCAGGTCAGGGCATCGGCGGGCGCCGGGCTCGCGTCCCGACCCGCCCGCTGCCGCTGGAGCCATCCCCACCCGCTCGGCTTTCCTCCTTTGTGCCTGGAGGTGGGAAAGGGATGGGCAGGCAATGGTAAGCTCGAACCCTGGGGCTTCGGGAAAACTGCTGGGGCTGAGTTGGGTGGATTGGAACCTTTCCACATTTCAGTTCTTGCCATACCCAAAGCCCTACGCCTTTTTCTATCAATGATCTGCGGGTGTAGCGGACCCAGGAGCGGGGAACCCCTTCCCTGGAGATCTGTGGCTTTGTTTGGAGTTCTGTGCGGAAACATGGAGGCAAATAGAGGCAGCAGGCATGCCTCCTTCCAGGTTCTCTCATGTTTTCCACGCTTCCCCAGGTGCACCGCTGCACGTCACTGAACCAGAGAAACCGCAGAAATACTTGTATTATTAGACTGCAAAAAAAGTCTTAAATGTACTTTTTTTGTTTAATAAACTTTTTGTTCAAGCAACGTTTTTAAAATCACCCACACAAAGATAGTTTTCACTTAAAGTTCACAATGTTGGTGTTTTGAAATAAGCATACTTTTTAAAAGATTTTATTTAGAGAGAGGGGAAGGGAGGGAGAAAGAGAGGGAGAGAAACAGCAATGTGTGGTTGCCCCTCACGTTCCCCGAACTGGGGACCAAGGCCTGAAAGCCAGGCATATGCCTTGACTGGGAATAGAACTGGAGACCCTTTGGTTTGCAGGTGGGTGCTCAATCCACTGAGCCACACCAGCTAGGGCTAAAATAAGCATATTTTTCACTTTAGCAATTTAATATTTTTATTGTAATCTGGCAATGATTGCTCCTTAAAAAAGTGATTATAATTAGCCGAAGCAGAGCAGAATTCTGAACAGAATGGTTTTTGTATATCTAAGGGGGTACAGTATAAAAAAAAAAGTATGTGTATGTGTGCTTTAGGCATCAAGAGTGCTGCTAGGGAGATGACTCTGGACAGGAAGTGGACATCAGGATGGGTAGGGAGGAAGAAGAAGAGGAGAGACCAGGAGAGCAGAGATCCAAAGAGACCCAGAAAACTAAGCCTGAGATGAGAAATTATAAAGGAAGGGATTGGGGAGGAGAGAGGAACAGGACTGGGAGGAACAGGACTGGGAGGAAAGAAAGAAAGGGAAATGGAGGGAAGGGAAGTGAGTCTGTGCACAAGTGCGTGTGCTTGCATGTGTGGGGGCACATTGCAGGTGGACAGCATGCTGAGCCTCTTCTGTTTAAACCACCCAGAGCTCGCAATAGATTCAATATCATCATCAGCCTTTTCTTTCAACGTTGCAAACAAACTTTTTTGCCTATAACCCATTATAATTGCATAAAACTGCCATCATATATATGTGGTTCATTGCGGACCAAAACATCGATATGTGGGCATGACTATATACTGCAGAGTATTGGTTGTTTGCCTTTGAAATGGCATGGCTTATCACGGCTGCTGCCCAGCATCACAAGAGAATATCTATCACATATTGCTAGCCTGGGAAAAGATCAAAATTCAAAATTTGAAGGATGGTGTCTACTGAATGTTTATCACATTCGCACCATCGTCAAGTTGAACCATTGTTAAGTCAGGGGCCATATGTATAGTCAACTCATCTGATAGAACTGCTTCTTAAGGAAACAGGTCTTTTGTAGAGGGGAATATAAATTGTAGTCTCTATGGGTCAGAGTTCAGTTGCAGATAACAATTCTCTCTAGCTAGTTGAAGCAAGAGATTTATTTCAGGACATTATGTTGATTACATAAGTGTAGGGAGGATAGAGGAAACAGACTGTGGTGTGTGCTATCAGTAATGACCTCAAAGCCGCCCAGCAGGACCCAAGTACTCAGGGAGGGGCTGCGTCTCCTTTGAACCGGAAACACTGCCACTGTCACAGTACTGGACCTGTCGTGAATTAGGATACTGTTGCTGCCAGCTCCCAGAACCATGCCACAACTGCCAGGAACCATACCAACTAAATATACCTGTACCCTGCCTCTTGGCACCCATGAATCTAGTGGTGGACACAAGTGCCATAATAAGACTGCCTCAAAAATCCAGCTACATCCACATCCAAGCTTGCTAGCAAAAACAGCAGACACAGGGCTTCTGCTTTGCTTCCTCCTTTCACGCTCACGCAAGTACTGATTGGCTAAACCCAAATCATGTTCAGAACCTTAGCTGCAAAGGAATCTGATGTGTGGTTCAGCTTCCTTCTGCAGTTCAGAAAAACACACCAGAAGGAGCTGTTGAGTGATACGCACATACCTACCACAGCCATATAGACTAATTCCATCGAAATGGAAAAAAGATAATTTTGTGAATGAAGGTAGAGAATCTTTTCAAGAGTTCTTTACTTGGGATCTACCAACTCCTAAATGGTCCACAGATAAAATTCAGAGCATCCATAGACAGGGCTGGGATTAAATTACATGTCTATTTTCACTAACCTGTAACTAAAACTAGTATTTCTTTCAATTATAAGTGTAGGAAAGATACTGCAATAGCATTAATAGTACCTGTGACTTTGTCACAATAGAATTCACATCATACTATAGTTATCTCAAAATACCATTTATTCTTGTCACTAATAGACTTTCCACTAGATCTCATGAGATAATATGTTGCTAATGAAGTGCATGATATCACTGTATCACAACTATGGTGTTTTTTTTTAAATTCTGAGAAGTATTTCAACATAATTGGATTCATTCATAATCCAGTGGCTTCTTAAATATTATTTTATAAATTTAAAAACATTCTGAGAAAGGGTCCATAAGCTTCACCAGGCTGCTAAAGAGGGCACTCAAAGGAGAGTTTTTTTTAATGCTTCTCTCAATTTTGCCTAGGACTAATGAAGCTTGTCCTTTAAAATCAAACCATGTTTTAAGGATTCAATGAGAGCAGATTGTATTGTGAACAGTGACATCTACTAGTGTGTTAGTTTGCTAGGGCTGCTGAAACATAGTACCAAGAATTGAATAGCTTAAAGCAGCAGAAATGTGTTGTTTTATAGTTCTAGATGCTAGAAGGCTGAAACCAAGGTGTTGGCAGGGCCATTCTCCCTCCAATACATGTAGGTTCCCTTCCTTGTCTCTTCCTAGTGTTCGGTGGTTTTCCAGCATTCTCTGGTGTTCCTTGCCTTGCAGTTGCATCACTCCAGCCCTCTGTCTTTGCATGGCATTCTCCCTGTGTCTCTTCCTATCGTCTTCCCTCTGTGCAAGTCCGAGTCTGTGTCCAGTATCCCCTTTTCGTAAAGACACTGACCACACTGGGCTCACACTAATGACCTCAGTTTGATCGACTCTGCAAGAACCCAGTTTCCTAATAAGGTCACACACTGAGCACTGGGGGTTCAGACTCCAACTTATCTTTTTGGAGAAAGCCATAGTTCAACTCAGAAATCAACAATAAAATCGGAGTTATACAATGTTCTAATATGCAGCCTGATGACAGATTTTAGAATAAATTCAAGTATAAATTAGATGATAAATATTGAGGCCTATAAGAATAATCAGTTATATCCAGGAATTTTAGAATGCACAATTTCACATTTGTTTTTATTTTTAAAAATTAATAGGTAATCTGAAAATGGCAAGTCTTAATGCAAGTTTCTATAATTACGAACTTAGAGAAAGTAGTTTACAAAAAGACATGAGCATTTTTGTTCTGAATGCTCCCCAATTGTTAGAAGTACCTGGTAAGCTAAATTTAAATACCCAAGTATGAGATCCAGAAATATGTATTGATAGAAACTTCCCATTAATCTCATTATGAGACAGTCTAAGAATGACCATTACCCACTGAAATTTTGCAAAAACAGTTTATTCATGAATGAAGTATGCAGATATTAACATGGAAAGAAATTGTATATTAAATAGGAATTGGTATTTTTAAAACTGTCAAATTGTACTAAAAATCAGAAACCTTAGTTAAAATTATTAAGGAGCTTTAAATCAACTTGAGCATTTCTTAATCACAGCTTTTTTCCTATGTGTTAATGTGCCACAAATTTTAAAAGCTTATAACACTTTCAGACATATGCTTTATATATAATGAAAGATTATTTTCTTAGTGAAGTTTATCTTAAAGTATCAGATGAATAGCACAGATGACATTGCACTATTTTTGTTTATTTCAAGTTATTTTAAAAATTTATTTAGATTTTTATCACATGCAAAGTTTGGTGATAAGATGAAGGGAGCTGGAACACCAGGATTTATAACACAGTCTATGGTATGGACAAACCAGTGCCATCTAACGGTGAAAAAGGACCATCCAAAGCTCTTCGTTTCTTAAATTGGAGGGTCTGTTTTTCTTCATTCTATTTTTTGTTTAGTATAATTTCCAGGAGTATATTGCAGCAAAAATGTGGAAACAGCCCATCACTTTTGTCTATCAAATTGTATGAGATAAATTATAGAGATTTACTTATATTTTTCCTGAATTAAAAAAAATACTAATAAAATGGTAAAATATTTTCCCCAAAAATG